ACAAAGGAATAGTAAATGGCACTGAAATATTTGCTGGTTCTTGTGAAGATCCTTCCTCATATATCAGCTGGGATGGAGTACATTACACTGAAGCAGCCAATCGCTGGATTGCTGATCGTATACTCAATGGTTCTTTCTCAGATCCACCAATAGCGATCACGCACTCGTGTCATGAACTTGGGTCCCCATGATTCTGACCCTTTTGTTCTTCCTCATCATATGATTACAATATTACATACATAACAAAGTGCCTTACTTAATAGTTAATATAATTAAAGCACACGATGGAAGAGGTGTGCGTGGTCAGGGTGATTTGTAAAACAGGGCAATCCCCTGCATCTTTAACGAAAGAAAAGCTATATTTTACAAGTTCTACTGTATTATGATTGTGATAAAGAAGTGGTAAAATAACTTCTCTATTTTTGGGTCAATCAAGCGTTACATGAAACTGGCAGCAAAAATGAATCAAGGCTTGAGCTCAATGACAAATAAACGCGCGCGCAAAAAATTTTGGACTTTTGTATCATCTCGTACTTCAACTTCACTAAAGAACTTATCTTTTTCATGTTTCTGAACCTTTTACCCTTAAAATTTTCAATTCTTGTCTTGTGGGATCAAAATCCAAAGCTTGAAATTTTTGTTTATGAGCACCAGTGCAAGTGCGTAATTGCCAGTATGGGTCATTGTTATTTGACCACCGATTTAATAAGGTCGAGGCAAGTTGATAACGTCTAATATTACCAGCATTTTTCCTGACCGTTAATAATAACTTCTAATTACATTTCAGCAATTAACTCCCAGAGATATTCAGCAAGTGTTAGGTGTTGATGATTATCTCATTATTTCTGGTATCTTAAAATAAAAAATTACACAGGAAAATTTTACATCAATTTTTTTTAAGCTTTTCCATTTACAACAGAAAGGGTTGGTGTCACTCCTGTAGAAATGAAAATGTAGGTTGCACATCCCTAGAAGATTGACTCTACTGGCTGTGTCTCGCCCACTGATTACGCAAAACGGCAAAAGCCTCTTTTTTGTTTTTTCAATTCAACAATTTTGAACCTTGTCCAGCTCTCGAGCATACACCGACACAATATAAGATGGTCCACTTCAATTATATTTATATGCTCCGTCACAGTATCATCCAGGCTAGCCGACTTGTGTCCAAGTCCTTGCAAACACTGACGTGTGTTCGATCTATGCATTGACCCCATGCCCTAATCATACGATATATTTTATCCTCTCAATTCCCCACATTAACCTCATTATGTTACTCCAAAAACCCACTGTTTCTGCCACTTATTTTAGGCCAATGTCACAGACACGGGGCATCAATGAAGCTCTAAATTTACCGCTCAAGAGTGCCAATTAGCAAACGTACAAAAGCCTAGAACGAATGAAATCACGTGGGTCTTGCTCCAAGACAAATATCTAGAGATTGTGCCCATGAGCCAAGTTTATCCCTCTCTTCTGGTTCTGTCTGAGGGTGCTTCTGGGTCTCTATAAATAGGTGAGCTCACTTGTCAATCCAGCATGAGATACGCTAACCCAGGCTTGAAAATGGGGTTAGGGAAACATTTTGTCTGCGGGTTCTTGTTATTCTGGTTTCTATGTGTGAGTGGTGTAGAGCTGAAAGGCCCACTCTTTTGTGCATTCCCGGCAATTTACAACTTCGGAGACTCCAATTCAGACACTGGAGGCATATCAGCTGCATTTGTGCCCATCTCTGGGCCTTATGGCGAGGGCTTCTTCCATAAGCCTTCAGGAAGAGACAGCGATGGCCGCCTCATCATAGATTTCATAGGTAACAAGCACGCAAATGATTTTTTTTTTTTTTTTTTGCTTCTACTGGTCGGCAAGTGTGAGGGAACTTTTAACTGTAGTAATTTTCTGGGCAGCTGAGAAGCTGAAATTGCCTTACTTGAGTGCTTATCTGAATTCACTTGGGACCAATTACCGGCACGGTGCAAATTTTGCGACTGGAGGATCCACCATCAGAAGGCAAAACGAGACCATTTTTGAGTATGGGATAAGCCCATTCTCGCTTGACATCCAGATCGTCCAATTTGATCAGTTTAAAGCACGCACCATTGAGCTCTACAAACAAGGTGAGCTATACTTCTATAAAATTTGAAGAAACTACCATACTACTCGATGTTATTGTCACTCATTGCATATATAGTGCTTGTTTCTTGAAATTTAGCTAAGAACCCATTCGAAAGAAGCAACTTCCGGTACCAGAGGAGTTCTCCAAGGCTCTCTACACATTCGATATTGGTCAAAATGATCTCTCTGTTGGCTTCAGAAAGATGAGCTTCGACCAGCTACGTGCAGCTATGCCAGATATCATCAACCAGCTAGCCTCTGCAGTGCGAGTAAGTAGATAAACTTTCAGATTCCTGAGAATTTAGGAAAACTTAAAATTAACATGATTGAATTGAAATGGGACTGAGGTTGAATAATTGATTTGAAGCATCTATACCAACAAGGGGGGAGGGCATTTTGGATACACAACACAGGACCAATTGGGTGTTTGCCAGTGAACCTGTTTTACAAGCATAATTTACCAGCAGGTTATCTTGACCAGTATGGGTGCGTGAAGGATCAGAATGAGATGGCTGTAGAGTTCAACAAGCAGCTTAAGAACAGAGTGATTAATCTCAGGGCAGAGCTCCCACAGGCTTCAATTACGTATGTGGATGTCTATGCTGCAAAATATGGACTCATCAGCAAAGCCAAGAATGAAGGTAATATCTGTCTATTCGTTATTGGCATCATTTTTCATACTAGGTTCTTATTAGACAAACATATAATGGTAACAAGATATACATAAGCTGAGGGTATCAACGGTTTTTTTGGTTTGTGTTTTCAGGATTTGCTGATCCACTGAAGATCTGCTGTGGATATCACGTGAATGACACTCATATATGGTGTGGGACGAAAGCAATGGTAAATGGAAAAGCCGTGTATGGTGCTTCTTGCGAGAATCCCTTGAAATATGTAAGCTGGGACGGTGTGCATTACGCTGAGGCTGCTAATCATTGGGTTGCTGATCGGATACTCAATGGTTCTTTGTCAGACCCACCAATTTCAATTACTCGAGCATGTTACAGGCACTAAAGGTAGGTCCTGCCACAAATTCGAGCTACAAATCAACTTATCGAGCATTCCCAAAGGAAGTGATGTGGCAAATTGCAAGCATAAATGGAGCTTATTTCTGTGTTAGATCAGGAATGCGCTGCGCACATATCTAATTACCAGTGTTGTTGAGAAATATGTGCTTGCAAAATGAAACTGCATTATTCAACGTTCTTGTCTCTTTTAGCAAGTGAGCTTTTTTGTTTCTTGGCATGACATGCATATTGGAAAAGAAAAAGCTCGTCTAAACAACACGTTCTTGCATCCTGAGCATCGAATTTTGCTTCCAAGAAAGCCCAGATAGGATCTAAAGCTTTATCTGCACTAAAATCTTGTGAGGAAAGATCAGAGCCACATTACCATTGCCGTTGAAGTAGTCACCTTGTCTTTGTCCAATCAATGTGAAATTGAACTACGTCCGTCAGATGGTCAAAGTCCACGTGCAAGAAAACCACCATTAGCGTACAAAATTCAACTTGGAAATACATTTTCTTCATTGAAGAAACCGAAGGTGAAAACTTTTCATTGATCATCCATCCACTCCATCCTGAAGTTTGGAACCAGAGTTACGACGTGCGAATCTAAAACATGTCCAACGACATATCTGGAATCCAACTCTTGTCACTAGCCTTTACTCTCACATCAAGGCACAATGTAAAGTGCAAACAACGCGTAGCCTACTAGGCTATTGCACACCTTGCCATGAAAAAAGAAGGAGAATGATAGAAAGGTTTTAAAAAAATTAATTAATTTAAATTAGATTTTAAATGTTAAGTTTAAAAATTTATAATTCAATCTTTTAACTTCAAAATTTTGTTGTGATAAATTTATTACTTGTATTTTAAAATTTAATTAAAAAATAATTTTTTTTAATTTTTTCAACCAAGTTAAAATTTAAAAAATAAATTATAAATTTATCCTAATATAGTTACAACATTGAAAGACAATTTATAAATTTTTAAAATTTAACATTTAAAATTTAATTTAAATTAATTAGCCCTTACCTCTTTGTCATTCTCCCTACCCCATGATAAGACAATTTTAGGTATTCATCTCTACTACGCCCCATCATATGAAGAGTTGGAAAATGAACTCAACTTTTTAGCTGTTCGAGCCTATCAAATAGCCTATGCTTATGATTAAGAACCCGCCACATCTGATGTGGGAAGCTAGGTTGCAGGTCTGGCTAAACAACTCTTTAAGCAAACAGAGAATTGCACATAAATACTTGTTACAGTTCTTTTGAATTTAACAAAGTATCTCAACGAAGATATACTAATCAAATGTAGTGCTGATTGTTCTCACACTAAAGGATATCAACTCCAACCACGTGGCCAGAATTGAATTTTCCATAATATTTACTAGCACATAAACTGAAACTAGTACTTGCAAGTTGCATCAGAACCTAAAACCTTGCAACGCAAAAGCTACACAAATGAGCGTATGAACGTTTGAAAAGGTTTGACCAATTAAAATTTCCAGGACAATGGCTAAAGAAATGGCCACATAGATATAGAAAACGGCAAAGCTTGTCTGAAATTGATGTTGATATATATAAACGTCATAAAAGTGAGCATGAGGTGTTAGGATAATCGGATGCCATCCAGTTCCCATTTACTTCTTAGATGTAATTGTGTCAGGCCATTACTCCAGAAGATAATTGAATTTTTATTGGAGTGGGAAATACATATATGTCTTGGACTGGGCCTTGTCATTTAAGTTCTTGAATCAGCTATTAGGCTAAGAACCTGCCATCGATAGTATGAGGACATTTAACCTGGAGATAAAGCATGCAATCCAATCCAGTTTCACCATATTAGGTGGTTCTTCACATTAGAAGTCAATCAAAACCCTTACGTATCTTCTCAGTATATTTATCATCTTATTGATTATCCTGCAACCCTTTGAAACTGCCTAGAGCTAAATGTTACTTCACAAAAAATTAGAATGCATGCCTGAAATAACATTCCAGGTACCCAGCAAAATGTTACAACAAAGCAGAACAATCTATATTACCACAGAAACATCATTAAACAATAACACAGTAAAATTGCAGAAATCATACTAACCGAATCACATCAAAATAAATTAATTTCACTGACCAAAAATTCACAAATTTCACTGACCAAAAATTCACAACAAAGTTATTCAACGATGGATTGGATGACACCAGCTCCGACAGTCTTCCCACCTTCTCTGATAGCAAATCTCATTCCCTGTTCACAAGCTACTGGAAAAATAAGCTCCACGACCATCTTCACACGGTCCCCAGGCATAACCATCTTAGATTCTTCGTCCTTATCATTCATGATCTTAGAAACCTTCCCAGTGACATCAGTAGTTCTCATGTAGAATTGCGGCCTGTATCCAGCAAAGAATGGCGAATGCCTCCCTCCCTCCTCCTTTTTCAACACATAAACAATAGCAGTGAACTTTGAATGTGGCGTAATGGTGCGGGGTTTGGCAATAACCATTCCTCTTTGAATGTCTGTTTTTTGAATACCCCTAAGCAAAAGCCCCACATTATCACCTGCAAGCGCTTCATCAAGTATTTTCTGAAACATCTCAACCCCAGTAACTGTTGTAGTCCGGGTGTCCTTGAGACCCACTATATCCACTGAGTCCCCAACCTTAACTGTACCCCTCTCAACGCGCCCTGTCGCCACAGTACCCCGACCAGTAATCGAAAACACGTCTTCAATTGCCATGAGGAAAGGTAAATCAGTTTGTCGCTGAGGAATTGGTATGTAGCCATCAACAGCATCCATCAACTCATAAATTTTATCCACCCACTGATTCTCCCCTCTTTTAATTTTTGGGTTCGCCATCAGTGCCTCCAAAGCCAACAACGCCGAACCAGAAACTATAGGTACATCATCACCAGGGAATTCATAGATGCTCAAAAGCTCTCGGACTTCCAACTCCACCAGTTGAAGAAGCTCATCATCATCAACCTGATCCTGCTTGTTCAAGAAAACTACCAAATTAGGCACGCCCACTTGTTTCGCCAGCAAAATGTGCTCTTTGGTCTGAGGCATTGGCCCATCGGCACCCGATACAACCAAAATAGCACCATCCATTTGCGCCGCACCGGTGATCATATTCTTTACATAATCAGCATGTCCGGGACAATCTACATGGGCATAGTGCCTGCTCTCAGTTTCGTATTCCACGGTAGCAGTATTGATCGTGATCCCTCGGGCTCTTTCCTCCGGTGCTGCATCGATTTCATCGTATTTCTTTGGCGCGCTATTTCCCATAGAGGCCAAAGCCATGGTAAGAGCAGCCGTCAGAGTAGTCTTTCCATGGTCAACGTGACCAATTGTGCCTATATTAACGTGTGGTTTCTTTCTCTCGAATTTCCCTCTGGCTGCTCGGACGACAAGGGACTGCCGGCGGGAGGAGGACACTCCGAATGCGGAAGAAGAGAAAGGGAGGGACAGAAGGGGGAAGATTCAACAACCGCGAAAGAGGACGGCAAGACCGCAGAGTTGAGCTTGGAAGGTAGGGTTTTGGGAGTTGGGGAGGGATTGGGGAGGAAGAATTGCGTAGAGGCGGAGAGTGATGAAGAGGGCAATGAAGGTCTGAGAAGGAGGTTTGAAGGAGAAGAGGAAGATGATGATCCAACAAGGGAGGCCATGGAAACGGGACGGACCGGGAGAGCGAGGGAGGGAGAGAGAAAGTGCGAAGTGTAGAGCGCAGACAAAGAAATGAAGGAACAAACCAAGAGATCAAGAATTGGAAAGGGGCTTGGGATCTCCTGGGGCCCTAGCTTTTGGTGCTGCTCTGACTGTCGTTGTCGCTGAGCTATACATGAAGCGGAGCCGCTTTTTATTTTTCTTTTCGAAACATTATCAAAGCATCACACCGTATTTATGTATTTTTCATAATTCATAATTCATAATTTATAAATAGTATATTTTATTAAAAAAATTTATATTACATATTAAAATGCTGATTGATTATGCTTAGACATTTTTTTTATATTTCTGTTCCTTAAATTTTAAATTATAGATAATCGTATGCATTCCCCCCTTTTTAATAATTTGAATTTTAATTATGAAATAATCAACTTGTGCCATTTATAATTAAGATGGAGGCTCTAAGGGCATACCTTCTCATAATGTGATATTTTAAACATCGCCAATCAAACTTAATCCTTTGATAAGATTTGATTCATGATTCATATAAACAAATTTACTATCAGAATGAGAATCTAGTTGGTAAACTATACATAAGTCTTGAAGAAAAATTTGCACCAAAGTGAATTGAAGTACTTGAATCACACAAGATGCGTGTCTGCAAATATTCTTAACAATTTTCCAAACATTAAAAAAAAAAAAGTTCAATGCTGCAAACTTCACTCTCCACTTTAATGGGAATCAGACGGGCAACATGGTTCAACAGAAGACAAGTTCTTCTGCTCCACCCTATATTATTTGATTTATTGTGCAATACTGCCTCATCACATTCTGTCGGATATCAGAGTTGGGGACCTTCAATTTTTCTTTACTTCGTCCGAAAACTAGTGTGGGTATTTATATCTTCACCCAAAACAAAAGCCCAGCTGCGTGACAAAGTTGTACATTTTTTCAAGGCATAGCAAATACTATCCTTTTTGCATGAACCTGCATTGTGGGAGTGAGCACGAGCCCTCATCTCACAATCGAAAACGACATTAAATTCTTACCCAAAGGGGAAAAAAATGACATTCAGTAACCCAAACTAAAATGCAAATGTGGGTCCTTGAAGCGCCGGGCTGTCGATGTCCCTGGCCTGCACTATGCATCCAAGATAAATTGTCACTTTCGCATATATGCTTTAAAATACTCAAGTATAGGATTCATAGAGTTAAATCAGGATTCAATTGTAAAATAGTGATCTTACAGCTACTCTGATACATTAAAAAGGTATTTTTCCTTGTACACAAAACAACATATATTTCATCTCAGCATCGAAACCATTGTTCCCTTTCACACATGTACGTGTGTAATGATCCCTTATTTCCGGCTATCGGGCACTTCATGCGTAAATTTGCTCCCTGTAGCCCTGGACGCAGGGAACAACTTTAGTTCCGAGGAACTCTACACGTGGGAGAATCTATCATATAAATCCGCATCCAGCTCTTAAAGCAATATATTGGCCACATCCTTTTCTATACATAGCTACGGGTATCTTGTTTCACTGGCGATGTCCCTGCGGCAAAGGAACCACTTTGTGGAAGGGTACCGTCCTTTGAGGTAAAGCTCCATCTTCTTCGTCATCGTCGAATTCCAGCAAATAACTGAACCAATCACCTCCCAAAGTCAACTACCATCACAACAAGATTAGGACAAACTTCAAAATACAGTGTATACTTACTCATCTGTCTTCCTCTGCAAAATGGAAGTTCCGCCCATTACAAGTACAATGTCACTAGAGTTAGTTCCGTATCAAAATCACCAAATATCCATAGAAAGAGGATAAAGAGACCACAAAATGTTGGCATGAAAGCTAGAACCGAGCTATCACTCCAGCAAATCAATGGTGTCATTGAATTATCACCTTTCGATGGCCATTGACAACTGTAGCTTTATATAGGGCTGTAGTTCCAGGATAGACTGCCAAAACATGTGTTCCATGAGGGAAATCTGTTGCATTAGAAGCATCGTTCCTCTTGGGGAAAGGAATGATATTTGACATTGGAAGTTTGTATCGTCTGAATGCAGAGAAAACAATATACAATGATAAATACACACCATTTACGATTCTAACAAGCTAACTATGAAACTCGAAATAATGAAATATGCAAGCACAAAAATGACAAGAAATATGCAACTACATATTAAAGAAAAGCTATACTGACAGACCAAACTAACCCCCCCCTCTCCCCAAAAGACAAAAAAGGAAAGAAAAGAAAACAGTAATTCAAAGGATGGAGTTTAAAAACCAGGAACATCTCGCTGTCTCCCTTCCAGCCCCCACCAAAAGATATGTCATTATCCAAAGACTAGAAAATCTGCTTTCTAACATATAATGCCATTTTCCTATTAAGAAAGTAGGTACATCCTAGTCTTGTAATTTATAAATGAATGGAAGAATTTTACTACCAAGATTTAGTCTTGACTATGAATTGCAATAAGTTTACAAATTTCTATATTAAAACCTGAAATCACCATGTCAAAGAATTCCCATGTCAGTTTATGTAGCATCCCAGACTAAAAGTCTGTGTGTCACAGCATGATAGGCAGCAAATCATCAAATAAAGTAAAATATCTAACTAGGCTACCTTTGGCCAATGCCCTCTTCATCATCACCAGGTTCCTCATCTAGTACTTCAAATCTGTAAAATTGTATCACAGCAAAGACGATGAAAATATATATCTAGTTACCAAAAAAAAAAAAAAAAAACCCAACTAGGGACTTCTAATTAATCTAAGAGAAAAGATGGCTGAAACTGGGCAAGGAGTAAGGGGGCACAACGAACATCAGAAATTCCAAAAAGGAATTAGCCTACCCAGTTCTGTATCATGAAAAACCCTAAATATGGCAGCATATTTTAGATCACTTTGAAAATAGTGTGTGCAAAGCATTACCTAGAATTTTAGTTGAGTGATGTCACTCGCAAAACATATGACATCAAACAATAAGTAGTGATAAAGGAAATTCACAACTTCACATTCCAGATAGAAACTGGCACACAAGACCATACTGTTATAAGAAATAGGCTTACTCTTTCGTTTCCTTGTTGAAATGAATCACTTTTACAACAAACCATTCGTCCTTATCAGCATTATGTGGTGTGACCCTGGCTGCTACCTGATAAGAAATTGACTTATAAAATAGAACCCCAAAAGCCTTCCAGAAAAAAATGACAATGATTGATATTGATCAAAGTCCAAGGCAAATACATACCTGTTCACCCTTAAGACCAAGACAAATCTCAAGCCGCTTGCTAAGAGATAGTCTTGAGATATCTAAGTGTGTTTTCATTCGCTTCTTTTTCAGCTCATTACCTTCTGCAAAACAAGTAGTGTCAGCTAAACAATGTAGAAAACCAGCTTCCTCTTGAAGATAAAGTGCGGAATCAGGCATTAGCATAGCTCTATCATTTTGTTAACTTGAACTAAAAACTAGAAAGTTTCTAATCATTTTCCCTAATCAGCATGCATTTTAATTCAAGTGTTTGCAATTTCATAGCTAGCATATTATTGACTGAATTTCGTAAGAAGTTAATCCCCCATTGTTAGGGCAGCACCATCTCCAACAATTAGTAGGGTTAACGATTGAATGTAAGAGCACTAGTTAAAGCCTCATTATTTTTGTTAATCAGCACTCACAACTTATGAGTTCTGTGGGCATACTCAACAGTGTATTACACTATCCTTCCGCCATATATGTTAGAGAAGAATATAGCTAAATAGGAATGGATTGGTTAATTAAAAAATACATTTACTTAATATGCACACTTAACTTAAGTGTCATCAACTGAATCAATGAGAAATTATCTGAGAAATTTTATTTTTCCTATACATATTCATAAATGATTCTCACCCTTTCTCTCTTTCATGTAGCAGGACTACATGTGACTGGCCCAAATGGCAGCAAATATGTAATTACGTTGATCAGCATTCAAAGGCAATTTAATTAATATCTCACGTAGATGGTTAGACGTGGTTTTTCTAGTTTTCAATTGTCCTTTTCTCTTGGAGTAATTTTTCTTTAATCAATCAAGCCTCTGTGAATAATATAAATAAGAAGGAAACAATAAGAAAAGCTTTTAAAAGAATGGAAGATTTACAATGTCGATTTCATTAATAAAGTCTACATGAATAAGATTAAGTACATCATGCACTAATTTTTTTAGGAAGGAAAAACAATTGCCACATATTTAGTAGTAATACACCAACCTATTCTCTTTCGTGGTTGCCCTGATGATTCAGATGACAGTAGAGCATCAAGTTTGCCTGTTAAAGAAGTGGAAATACTGCAACCACACACAATATTGCAATGAATACATAATTTAGAAAACCCAGCCTGGATAAAGTACAGTTGAGTTACTCTAATGTTTAGCCAAAGAGGAGAAAAGGAAGTCTCCATGATTTTTAGACATTGCAGAGATAAAGGAATGGAAGGTAAAATGGTGTTCAATTTAAGTTCTCGAGAGATACAGTATTGGCAATTTGGCATACTTTTCTTCACTCTCTGATAGCTCTTTTGCTTGAATGTACAATGACTTTAGCTTTGATAATGAGGTATCCCCCGGCTTCTCAACCATCTCAGGAGCTGCATTGACATGATCATAAACCATCAACAATGAGCAACAGAGAAAAAATTATAAGAATATTATTATCAGGTATTTGGTCCGAGATATATAGACTTTGGTGCTAATTGTAGTATGAAGAAGCTAGGGTTTGTAACAAACAATAGTAAATGCTGTTAAGCTGCTAGTATTTGTACCGTGAATAGGATAGTGAGTGGCTAGCAATTTTTTTTTAACACCTGGGGCATCACTTCTGTTTTACAAGGTAGCATATGATTTGATGTCATCTTAAAGTTTTCTTCTAAATAAGTGTACTGATGAGATAGCCTATAACCACAAAGATGTGTTAGCATCAGCTTCAATCGGTATAGTAGTATTGCGGGGACGCCCAGTGAAAATCGTATTATCTTAATTTGTCATGCACAGAGTTCTAAGATTCTCATTATCTTTAGCTGCCTCCTAAGGAAAAATATATACAGAACCAGAAGTTGATGAGATATTTATGTAAGAGGGCGTTAAGTGAAGGAACTAACACCAGTGGCTTGTTAACAATCATCAGATTGAGGTTATCGTCACCAAGCTCAGCTCAAAACAGAGTTAAAACAATACTTCAGTGATTAATTAAAAATAAATAAATAAAAACACAAAGATCACATTAGGGTCACAAAAATGGAACGAACAATACCAGCATTCGATAACCAATAGAAGAAAAACCATTGTCAAGTCACAACAGGATGAAGATAGAGGAATAACAAAAACACGAATAGAGAGAGACACCTGGTTTTTTTTAAACGATACTCAAATTAATGTAACCGAGCTCAGAACAGACTTAAAACAATAATTCGGTAAATGATTTAAAAAGTTATTTAAAAAACCCACTAAGATTACATCAATGTAACATAAGGGTACAAATTATTCCTGCATTAAATAACCCAAAAGAAATAAAATATTCCCAAGTCACAAAAGGATCGAGATGGATGATTAGTAGTGGGGAAAAGGACATGAATGGAGAGACTCACTTGCTTTGAGTTTCTTGTGCATCTTGTTGATCTCAACGAGCACTAGCTCTTGCTCCTTCCTTACACGATCAAGTACCTTCGAGCTCTCCAAGATGTTGATGGCAATGTCCGATAGCGACATCGTTTACCAGAGAAAAAATGAAGGGACGGAGTTCGATTCTGCCGACAATTCTAGATAGATTTTTTCTCAGGACGTTGTTGAATCATCCCACTTATTTAGTTGGAATGATGATTAGAACAAAAGAACTGAGATTACCTTTCCTATTTTGTTGGCAGCTCCCGTCTCCGAGAATGACAACGGAAAGATAATCAGTGTCTGAACTTTGAAGCTCTGCAATAAATAAATTAAAGGCAACAACAAAGATTAAATTTATATGTATAGGAATAATACAAGAATTTCAATGGAGAAGCGACGTCGTCATTACTTCAATACCAGCCTACTGATTTTCGGCCTTTGGAAAATCTCTGGGTCTTGCGGAAATTCCAAAAACAAAAAACCACCGGTCAAAAAATTTTATGAGTGCCAGGTGGCAATAATATAAGTAAGGTACGTGAAGAGTAATCAGGAATCACTAATCAGGTGGTCCTGGACCTAGTCTTCTTTAGTTGACACGTGCACATTCCTTGATCTGCTTCCTTCTTTTCAAGTTTTAACACATAATCAAGAGTCGCGCATGTTGACAAGTCCACGTTAATCTTAGTGCTTAAGGATGATATATTTGCCTCAATTAATCAAGTCTCTAAAATATTCACAATGTTATCGGTACTTGTTCTTAATATAATTCTTAATTATTAATCCTAATAGCACTTGGGAATGGAGTCTTGTGTGTGGAAAATATTATGGATCGGAGGTCTTCGCTATTCCCACTTGACTATATATTAATTCAACTCTCCATTGAAATATTTTAAGCAAATAAAATATTTTATTTACCCAATGATATCAAAGCAGATAACAAATATTAATCCTTTGGCATCCGTTGCTGGAAGTTTTGGGAGCTGATAACAAACAAGAGGCTCTGTGTGACTGGGCAAAGGATTAAAGCCAGGGTCGACCTCTTCCTCTTGCAGGTTCATGGTACTTGTACGTTTAAGTGTTTTTGGCTTTCCTTATAGCTTTTATTTGAATAAAATTTCCTGTTCCATTAAAAAATAATAAAAATGAAAGCATTTCAATGTATAATCTGACATTATTTTATAAGTGAAGAAATTTTAAAAAATATTTATTATGTTTTCACCAGTGTTGTCTAATGTTTCATAACTTGTTTCGCTACTTAAAAGATTGTCTCCGTATAAATTTAATAATGCTTGAATCTAATTTGCAGTATTAAATATCAACACTGTATAAAATAATTTATCTTACTATACTTTTAAATGAGTAAATTAAAGCCACTATTTTGGTATAATAAATCATTTCAGATATGCGTAAAGGTAAAATTAATTGAAAGCTAAGGGATTTGTTTTTCACCTTTCATAATGATGAGTTTCCACCATCAAGGAGTACTCCTGGTCTCATGAAAAATCAATGCATATACAAATAAACCTAAGACTAAAGCCAATTTGCCAACGTTAAAAAGGGAGGTCAATCTGTACATTGACGCAGGATGTAAAATTTTTATGAAGTAATTAACTCATGAATATTGTGAATCATCTCATCTTATTATGTTATACCACCACACCACATAAAATAATACTTCTTCTAGTAAAAAAAATATAAGCATCTTTTAACAATATCTTTGTGTTAATAAAAATTTTATTCTCATAAATACAAACATATATACTATATTTCACCTTTAATTGCAATTTATAATGAGTGATAAGAATATGTCATAATTCACAAGCACAAAAATCCCTATTAATAAATATAAAAAATAAAATGAGAATTTTTTTTGGCAAATATTCGATTACTCATATTTTATACTAGAACTAGTTGGAAGAAAAAATATACTTTAGAACCGTTGGGGCATTTATTATAATAAATTTTGAAGAAATTTAACAGGCGAGACCTCCATATACGACTATGCCGTATTCCATTTAAGATTTCTTTCCTTTTTGTTGTTGTTGTTGTTCTTATTATTATTATTCTTTCATCATCATCTTCTTCTTCTTCTTATTATTATTATTATTATTATTATTATTATTATTATTTATTTTATTTTATTTTATTTTATTTTTGGTTTCGTGATGTGAGTAGTATCCTTTAAAACCTTTATATACACGCACGCACATGTTCATACATGGGTCTCGTGCTCATGGAAGCTACATCACGACGGCCGCGCGCGTCCGGAAGAGCTTCCTCCACTCCGTCACTTACGAAATAACGAATTGACGAGACAGCAATAACAAAATACTGAATATTCCGATCGCATTCATATTCTTCTTCTTCTTCTTCGCTGTACTTTCTCCTTCCCCTCTCACTATTTTCTTCCCGAAATCTTCGTGCCACAACTAACTGCAGAACCCCCTCCCGTCTTTAGATATACACGGTCCCACTTCTCGGGTTAATTTGTTTCGTCGTCCCATTGTTACGCCATTCATCGTGTTTTGATCCTTCCTTATAAGTCATCATAAATTCTCATTTAACCAGCTGAGTCAATAGGTGCTGCGCCCCCACGTCCTGTCCTCTAAAAATTCATCCTGGTATGCCGTTTGTTTATTTTTATTGCATAAACATTAACGACGAAATTCCGTTTCACATCATGTTTTTGTTTGCATGAATCCCTTGCATTGACTTTAAATGAAAAGTCGGGGTTTTTCCGTTGCCCTGCTGTTCCATTGTTTAATTTATAGTACAAGTAACGTCGTCCTTCCTTACGTTGACAGCATTATGACAAAACTAAAGACTTCAGTATGTATGCCAAAATTCATTGCCAGACATTTTCTAGGGTTTTTGTTGTTCTATGATCCAGTACTTGACGAGATTATATCCATGCTCTGCAAATTCAGATTAATGCTTGATATGGTAATCTTGCATGCTTCATCCCATTTTTGATTGGTTTCGAAAGAAAATAACGAAGCCGTTAGGCCAATATTGGAGGAGATGTTGATCAACCTGCTGACCACTGATTATACTGACAAGTCTTTAATTTTGATTATTTGCAGGGACCGGAATTTCCCAGCTGGCACTGTGAACCTAGACATTTGAGCCTGGTGCTTGAGGATATATTTTTATGCACTCATTAATTCTGATAAGAATTATTACGTACTTTTCAGTGGTCATCATTTTGTCGTACAGAACGGCTTGATTGTGAAGGAACAACATCGTTCCAATATATTTATATATATGCATGCTGCTCAACTTCGATGAGTGGGTGTCATTGGCATTGCAATTGCAGAGTCAGAAGATATTGACTACAATGGGAACTCCCATGCGCAGGTGTGAAACTAACAAATTATTGCATAATAAGTTGCTCTCCCGCAACTCTCCACCTAAAAGAAAAATCAATATAGAAAATTGCTTCACCATATCTAATATAATTCATTTTGTCTTGCAGTGGAAATTTTCGAACCGCTACCGAGACAATGAGGCTCACTGTAGGAGTTTTTATTGGAGTTGTTTTTGGTTTCTTCTTAGGAGTATCGTTTCCAACGCTCTCATTGAGCAAGGTGTATGATCTTCCACACAATGTCATTACATATCTCTTTGGTATTATTTTGAAGTAGTCTACCTAATACTGATGATTTTTCCCCGTGTTTATTATCAGATGAATCTCCCCTCCGGCCTTTTCCCATCCATTGATCTCACGTATATTGAAGACAAATACTCGAATGTTCAAAACAGACCAGTTTGGGACGCCTGGGATTCATTTAGGGGTAACAGGAAGATGTCTAATGGACTTCCCAAATTGAATGACACAAAGGTATATATTTTTCTCTAGCTGACTCTCTCGATAGAAGGGCTTAAACTTGGACTATTGAAGTCGTGATGTTGATTGAGGTCAATGAAATGGCGGCGGTCATTGTATGGCAGAACCGCAATAAAATGTCACGAGTATTTGTAGCTTTTGGCCATAGTATTTTGTGGTAAATGACTTAAACCCAATATCTACACAAATAATATATAGAGACTATGCGCACGCCATAAAGTTTCTGTTCAAATCAAATGATTTGTAAAATATGTGCTCAGTTGTATGGCTTTTTTGTGGCATAGAAGCTCTATCTTTTAATGCTTCTGTATTATTGAACAAAAGGTCAAAAACTATAGAGGCTTGAAACGTACCTAACAACTCTGACGTCTCTCGTTACTTTGTATTGTTTTTAATTTGTCGTCTCTGCTAGTCTGCTTTTTCTCTTCATTTACATAATGGCTTTGTTGTTCTCCTTTCTTCTGCTTACACCCCTGTTTTTGTAAGTTGTTTTACTTTTGAATGATATATTTGTTGTTATTTGTTTTGTACTGGTGTATGCTGCATAGGCCTTTTTGCCTTTTGTTTATTTTTACTTTCAATATCCCATATATTTTATCTATATCAGAGAGCAAACTTTATGGGATTTTTTGAAATATCTTTATCTTCTATAGCGATAGACCTTTTTCACTTGCAATCAAAACGCAGCACGGTGCACTCTTGGCTCTTGCCTTTTGTTTTATTTTTCACGTACGATCCTTTTCTTTTACTTGTTCTTTTCTTTCCACTTCCACTAATTACGTTTACATACTTGATGAAATAACTAGAATTTATTTTTAGGAGTTGCCTGCGTGCACATGGGCGTCTTACGTTACTTGGGTAATATGCAGTTATTTAGGTGCAGAAAGAAGCCGTGGACATCATATAAGTGACATTCACTTCTTATTTCCTCCCCTTAGAAATTGCAAAATGCACACTATTACAGAAAACGACGGGCATTTTTTAGCCTGCCGCTATTTGTTCCATGTGTCATTGAAAACATTAATTGATGCGTTTTATCTATCTTTAACTAGTCCACATGTTTATCGCTCCTTGGTAATGGAAGTGATTTAGTTTAGCGATATATCTCCGTTACATGGTTCTGCTTGAGTCCCTGGGTGGTGCATTCAAAATCTGTACCGTCGCATGACTCTCGAATATAAGATTTTGCCATCATGGACACATCTGTACCACCTCTTTTCAATCTTACAAATTGACTAAGCACACTTTGTTGCGATGCAGATATGGGTCCCCACAAATCCTAAAGGGGCTGAAAGACTACCCCCTGGTATAGTCAATTCTGAGTCGGATTATTATGCTCGTCGATTATGGGGTCAGGTTCCTGAGGTGCGTGCCTTTACTTAATCCACTGCACACTAGTGTAAATGACAAATTTCTCTATATAAATTTAATCTCAGTAGTTTGACCCCAAAAAAAAAAAAATCCCAGTAGAAACAATTTCTTCAACTGTGTCACAGTGTAGTGCCTAATATGATGTCTAAGTATTGACAATTATCTTAAACAGTAACTTCTCCATTTCTTGGAATGGAGGGGTCAGCGAGGAGGTTATTAATTGTTGTATTCTTCTTTTTGGATCACGAGAATTAGAAAATCATTCTTGACTGATTCGGTGGTTCCCCAAAGAATAAAAGTTACATGCGTGCAATAACAGAAGGAAAACAATATTTGATAAAAAAGCATTACGGGATATAAAAGGAGTCTTCAAAGAAAACCTACCGATATTAACTTACCCTGCTTTATTTAACACCCAGACTGAAGAAGGTTTTTTTTTTTTTTTCCATAACTATTAATTAGTGAACATGCATTTTATAAATTATAGAATTTATCAGCATATGAGATACACGATAAATCGATTCTAATCTGGTGTAATTCCTGGTGTTTTCCTTATGGCAAGTTAAAAAAATTTCCACTTCTCTAATTAATTAGACTCTTTCTTTTGCTGATGGAATTTTCAGGACCTACCCATCAAACCTAAGTATCTGATAACTTTTACTGTTGGTTACGATCAGAGAAACAATATTCACGCAGCAATAAAAAAGGTGATTCCAATTTCTGAACTGCCTCATCTTCTTATTGTCTGCACCTGCCCTTACCTCTGATGTCATATTTGCTCTCTTTATGACCATTGAACTTGAAAACCACAGTTCTCTGAGAACTTCACCATTATCTTGTTTCACTACGATGGTCGCGTTAGTGAATGGGATCAATTTGAGTGGTCAAAGCGGGCTATCCATATTAGTGTTCGGAAGCAAACTAAATGGTTGGCAAGGAATTCTCCCTAGTTTTTGTCTTCAGTAATTGCAACAAGTTTTAGTTAAGCTCTCAATTCTCATTAACTCTTCAACTCTGAATTGATTCCAGGTGGTATGCTAAACGCTTTCTACATCCTGACATTGTGGCACCTTATGACTACATCTTTATTTGGGATGAGGATCTGGGTGTGGAGCATTTTGATGCAGAGGAGTAAGTATCAAAACCAACCTGCTTGAGGGAATGAAAGTGGTGTTCAATTTTTTCTTTCTTGTCTTTTTTTTTTTAAAAAAATTATTTCTGATCTATTCGTCACAGGTACTTGCGTTTGGTTTAAAAAAAAATTATTTCTGATCTATTCGTCACAGGTACTTGCGTTTGGTAAGAGAGTACGGTTTGGAAATCTCACAGCCTGCTCTAGATCCGCGTAGTGGTTTCACTTGGCAGATGACAAAGAAAAAAGATGATACTATAATTCACAAGTAAGAGTGCGACTTTCTTGATTTGCTATGATTTTATAACTGTTAAATGTGCGGTCATTGCTAAATTATAATTTATTTTCACTCGTCCTGCTTGTATCTTAAACCATGTCTGTGTCTTGTGAAACTCCCGCAGGGACGTTGAGGAGAAAAATGGTTGGTGTGCTGATCCACGTCTTCCACCATGTGCTGCGTATGTAACAATATTAACCACTTCTCTTCCATTTTCCTGCATACTTACTTTTGTAGGATTTTCCTCTTTCTCATATATCTCGCACTGGTTTATGAAATGCTCAGATTTGTTGAGATCATGGCCCCTGTATTCTCCAGAGATGCTTGGCGTTGTGTATGGCATATGATACAGGTTCATATGGTTTAAGTTATGCCTTGTCACCAATTTCACTTCATAACTAGTTCATAACACACTAGTTTCCGACCTTTTATGTTGTAGAATGACCTTGTTCATGGGTGGGGTCTTGATTTTGCTCTCAGAAATTGTGTGGAGGTTAGTATAACTTTGTGTTCAATTAAACAATTACCTGATTATAATTAGATTTTCTGATCTGATATTTCTTGCCTTCCTTGGAAGCAGCCTGCTTATGAGAAAATAGGAGTTGTAGATGCTCAGTGGATACTCCATCAAGGTGTTCCTTCACTTGGGAACCAGGTTAGTGAAGTGACAAGTTTCGGGTCGTTTAATACGATAATTTTTTTCGATGGCCTAAGTTAAGCAGTAGTGACTTTTCCTGTTTCAACAGGGGCAAGCGCAAGATGGGAAGGCACCATGGCAAGGGGTAAGCTTTGAGGTTTTTTTTCCTCAGCTTGTGTATTTGTCTTTCAATAATTTATTATTTACTATATTCAAGTGAAATATAGAACAGAAACCTCTCAAAATAATTGCTGATTGACACTGATGAAAAACATTGATGTGAGAATTGGCGTCATATCAGGTGAGAGATAGATGTTACAAGGAATGGACAATGTTTCAAGAACGAATGACTCAAGCAGAGGGAGCATATTTTCAGGCTATGGGAATTACTCCTCCAAATTCTTCTACAAATTACATAGGATGATAGTAGAGTGCAGGAAACTTGGGATTATCATTTTCGTCTTCCACATGTTTGTTTGACCAAGTTGCTTGAGCACTAACATTTATATTTATCATTGGTCATCATTCTTTCAATTATCCGTATCCCTTGAAGCTTGTATACAAATTTTGGAGGGAGAGGCTTGTACTATGTCATATAAATAACACACCTGGTAGTTTTCAATAACGTCTCGTATACCTGTAATGGCTATATACTCACAGAAGATAATCGGTTTGCATTAACACTAATAGTAAATCCCCCTGGGGGGGGGGGAATCAAACTGTACTTAGGTGAAAAAGGCAAAAAAGTATTGTGCACTCAACTTCTCTCAATGTTCCTTGACGATAGAACCAGCAATTGGCAAGCACATGCATAGTTGTCCTTCGTCCTTTTTTCTACCCCAGACAAACACAGTTGTCCCTTTAAATCTGTTAATTTTCTTTAGATCTTTCCCAAAGAAATATTTCTTCCCTTATTAAAAGCTAAAAGCCCATGGCCCCGCATTTATTTAATCCTATAAGTTCGTTTGGCCACACATTTTCCAACCCAGCACAACATTACAGCTTAAACGCTTTTCCTCAAGGAACAATTTCTCGCATGCAAGTGCGTATTGCTAGCGACATTCGAGAAAATAACCTGAGGGCCAGAGATGTAAGTAGGACAACTCTAAAAAAAATGTGTGTGATTGTTGCTTCCGAAATTGAATGATTTATTAGTGAATATTACATAACATTTTCCTTAATATCAGATACTTGATAAGAAAGAAAAATAAATATAGCGAGCAAAGAGCAAATAAAAAAGATGACTTTAGCACGAAGAGGAACCCGGAGCAGTATCACCCATTCTACGTGTCATGGTTTTCAGATTGATAGTGGGTTTACCTTCTTAAGTTAGAAATAACTTTTGGAAATAGCCTCTTCAAGCTCTGCAAAGTCCCATGCATCATCTGCTGAATATTCTCCTGAAAAGTGACCATTCTGATTTAATAACGGTTTGCAACTTTTCATGGTAAGTCAGTCTCTTTCAGAGTCAAAGGACATGAGGACTTACCTATTGAATCTCTCCGGAGAGCAGTTAAATGGGCACAACTGCAAAATAAGAAAGAACAGATAAGCAATAGTCAAAGCTCAAATTTTGAGCTTTAAAAGTTCCTCTCATCTGCCAGCAATTTGCATTCATTTTACAGATCCTAAAGTGTTCGGACAAATCCCACCGCCCGCCCTACCCTCTTTCACACATTCATGGCCAAGCTATATTAAGTTAAAATGCTAATTTCACATTCCATTTCGTCCTTCTATACGACAACAGCTTGAGACTTTTGATCCCAATGTATCAATTTCAAAGAAGAATCCATTGCATGTTACCTGCCAAGAGCTTTCCCAAAATCTGCACATAGGGACCGAATATACGTCCCTTTGGAACATGTTACCCTAAAAATCAAATTTTGTCTGCAAAAACATAAACAAATCAGGTTAAATAATATAAATTAATCAAAGATCTGAAGAGATGATTCCAAACAGATGGAAAATGCTTCTGAGTAAAAGCTTTTGCCTTGACTATAGAGCCCTAAGGATTTGTAATTAAGGTTTGAGTGAAGTTGTTTAGAGCACAATTCTTGGAAACAGTATACTCAGAGAAAGCAAATATCTTCTCTTCTAGGATACTTCGCAACTATCAAAATGACCAAAAAAATATTTGAGACAGACAAACACATTCTTCATATCTCTATAACCTAGGAATCAAGGCAAGATCCTTCTTCAAGTACTTAAAGTTACCTATCATCCAAACTACGCTCTATGCCAAACTGGAAAATTGATATTCGTCGAGGCGAGAGTTCAATGCTTTCTCCTCTCCTTGCTTTCTCGTACATTTTCTCACCTCCAACCTTTTGACAAAGTAAACAGAACTTGTAAGCAACTGAACTATTTTCCACTTGACATTTAACATGACAGGCTCAAGTTTTCTCCAAGGGATAATAGGATAAAATTTCATAGCATTGAGCTATTTCAGAAACAAAGCTTGGCATTGAGTCTACTATTGCACAGAAGCTGATTGAATTGAAATTTCATGCTAAATTATAATTAAAATCACGAATTCAATAAATGAGAGGAGTTCTGTTGTATTCAAGAAATTTTAACTTTTATAGATGAAATGATGTCCATAGATTGCATTTGCATAAACCTTTAGATGAAAGGCAAAACAATTTAGTTTCTTACCAATGAATAACTAAAAAGTTAACCTGGACTTGAAGCCCCTTAAATCTAAGACAAGACTAATTTCCATACAGCAAGGAAAAAAGGAACGAGGAATGCAAAATATGTGGTGATACATATCAGATAAAAGGAAGAAGAAGCAGTTTCAGTGTCTCTGCTTCGACCTCCTTACAAAAACACAGTGAGCTGTTTCAACAGAACCCCTTGCCATAATCTTTCTGGATAGGGCAATCATTAAATATGGAAGAAAATGCTCACTTTAATGGCAGAGAACATTGGGGGAATTTGCCAAATCTCCCCGCAAAAGGATGCTGCAGTTCTCTTTATGTCTTCATCTTTGATGTGCTCCCATGGCTCCCGCTGAATGACCTACATAAGAAGTCGATCTATGAGTTAAAAAATTAGACATATTTAAAATTTACATATAAATATTAACAATGGTTGAATTGAGTAGTAAAAGATTCAGCACCCCCCTAAACAAGATTTTCAGTTGAGCCTTGTAGATGGGGGAAACCACATCAGGAGAACTTCCCTTCAATCAGGACTCAACCCCACTTCAATTTAATTAGTCTGTAATTTCGAATGAATAAGATTTATGTACTTAGTCTTATATACTTAACATATTTATATCTAATCAAATCATGACAAGTGAATCTTAATATATTAATAAAATTAATAACAAGATTTGTTATAGAAGAAATAATTTATAAAAGATCCAAATGTCTTGATTTAATTTAAAACAAACACATTAAGTATATCAAACTAAGTATATAAGTTTTTCCTATTCTGAATACCAGATGATTTATCACCCAAAAAAAAAAAAATTGTATGTATTTTAATGTCTAATTTAGTTGATCATGCATTGCAGTCATCTTCATGGATCAAACATGAGAGAAGATTGACCCACCGCTGAATCAGCATCCCATGTTGAAGTAGCCTCCCCTAGGCGGAAAACCCCGCTATAGCCCTTAATCATCCCTTGATATCTGCAGTAGAAAATTCCAAGTAACTCAAAAGAACCTAAGATATGAGATTTTAAACAGAACAATAAATTGAAAGTTGTGAAACTGGCACCAGTTATTGGCAGTCAAATGGAAATAATTCTAATTATTTTTTAATTACCTCTCTACCAGTTTTGTTGCTTTACCAACACAAACAATCAATAAACCCGTAGCCATAGGATCAAGAGTTCCAGCATGACCTACCTGCAAATGGATTCTTGTGCTCAAGAAGAGATACGGTAAAACGATCGCATAGATCTACACAAAACAAATGCATTAAATATAGATGTGCCTATGAATGAGAACCTTTTTCACTTTGACTAGGCGACGCAGCTTCCCGCAAACTGTAAATGAAGTCCAGCCTATTATAAAACTTTACATATTAGTGTTCTTTCATTGACAAATGAAAAATTAATACTTCCATATGTTGCAAAACTACATGTAACGTGAAGAAGACTTCACAACATACACGTGTGCATTTGACAACTTTGGCAAGAGTCGCAGTGCTATTCTACTACGTGACTATAGAAAACACCCTAAGGGCATCGAAAAAAAGACATCATTTGTCACCAGTCTTGATATATTTGCACATGGAAAGGTATAAAATTCAGCCTAATTCAATGACGTATGTGCAGAGGAAGGTCAAACGAACAGAAGGTAAATCAATGACTCCAACATAATGCAGAAGTGCTGGTGACAATTCCGGAACAGCATCCAAAGCCCAATTGCCCATCTACTTTTAAATTTAGTGATGAACCATGGTAATGACATTAAATTTAACTCATGCTAATTCATCCCCCGTTCCCCATTCTTCCTCAAAATCACATGTCAATACGTGGTGACGTACTAAAAAGAAGCACAAAGTTATATGTCAACTTACCTTTGGGTTTGTTCACCAAAACAACGGTTCCATGAGGACCATCCCATCTAGGAGGAAGCCCAGAACTTCTTGACGCAAGAAACGGCTCAGCATTACCCATTTCAACATCCTTATCGGGAATTTTCTTCAAATATTTAAAGAACTCTTCGACCTTCTTTTCGGTTAGATCTTCTCTTGTTTCCTTAACCAATCCTCTATTATCCTTTTCTTCTTCTTGTTTCTCCTCGAAGAATATTAACTTCTTATCAGTTCTTTCATTACCAATTTCGTCTTTTTTCTCCCTTTTATCTTCCCTGATTTTCTTCTTTTCCCTCACCTTACTCTTAGTCTTCATATCTGTATTTTCATTCACATTTGCATTTGATTCTCCCGGTTCAAGGAACGCTTTGTCAAGACACTGATCAGGAAAATATTTCTTCTCTAACTGATAGACCATCTTGTAATGCTTCTCCTTTTCCCACGGGTAAGAAAACGTATCGTAGAAATACAATTCCTCCTCCCTCTTGTGCAATGTAGGAAGCTCAACCACCTCAGGCTTCAGTTCCACGAACTTCTCTTCAGGTCGTCTATTTTCTTCATCTGAGTCCGACCCATACATCCTCTTCCTCCGTTTTCTGTAATATTTTCTCTTAGCCTTGTCAAGCTCCAATTTTTGGGAACTGGGTTGGTCAGCTTCCTTCTCAAAAGCCAATTTCCGATCGACCCAGCTATCTAATCCCAATTCAGAAACGGACTCCTCCGGAGAAACAGACTCTTCAGGAGAATCGGAGTCAGGAAAGCTCTCTGAATTGGAGTCATTTTGTCGAACAGGTCGACGGCGAGAATGGGCATGCACAGAATTGACCGGACGGTTGATAATCATCTCGTACTGAAGTGGGTATGGGGTTCGTGTGGTGGCGAAGGTTCGTAAGGAAGGTGATAGGGAGAAAGTGTCTACTTTGTTGAAGGGTGTGAATTTTGTACATGGAAGCGTATGATAGAAAACTCTTGCAGAGGCCATAGCTCTAGAATTAGATAAGAAGAGGAACGATGCGTGAGTCAGATATAATGATTTCCACATGGAGAGTGAGCAGTCAGCGAGAGTGATGTGGCAGTGTCCAGTTTAGTTAGACTGAGAAGATACTTGGAATTCCACAATCCAGAGAACAGAGAGAGCAGGGTACTTTCAAGCACCAACTTCTAACCATTCACAACGCCTTGCCAAGAGTTCATCTATGCTTTAGAAAAGCCCGATTGACGTACAGTACAGACGCCCAACGTCTACCAGTGGCGGAACCCAAGGGATTTGGAGGCGGCCCTTCGCCGCTCGTTCAATCGTGCGTCCCACCTGACTTTTGTTATGCATGATTATATTTTTTATTATTTGTGAACAAATTATAGACGATACTTTATACATTTATATGAATTATATGAATGCTTTTGTCTGAAATATGTTACATTAACGTGAATTTAATACGTTTACCTTTTAATGTCTGCAGATATTTTCTAATATATTTTTTCAAGATTTAAAAAATATAATTTTTAACCTCTATAATTTTATTGATTTTTACTTTCAATTCTTATAATTTTTTTAATATTTTCAATTTTTATATGTTTATTTTTAAAATTTTAAAATTTTAATTTTTTTAACATTTTTAATTCCTGTAAAGATGAGAATATTGAAAATAATTATACAAATTAAAAATAAGACCTAATAAAATTATAAATGTCAAAGATTATATTTTTCCAAACTCAAAAATCAATTTATTAAGGAAATAAAATTAAGAATCTTTTCTGAAAAAATATAGTTTTTAGTTTCTATATTTTGCTGGCATTTTAATTTTAATTTTTATATATATTTTTTTAGTGTTTTAGATTCATATACTTTTATTTTTTATTATTTTTGATTCTTTTATGAACAAAGTATAAAATCTTAGAGAAAAAATAATAAAAAATAAAAATATAAAAACTTAAATATCAAAAATGAAATATAGGGATTAAAAGCTACTCTCTATATTTAAAAATATAAGGTATTTTTAATTAAATTTTATCCTAATAAAGTAGTTACTTACTTTCAAACTAACCCTATTTTTTTATATTTACACATATTAAACACCCTATAATAAATATAAAATAATTTATTAATAGAGACACTTAAAAAAATAATAATTATATCTCAAAAAATTAAATATGTTCTATATTTTTTAACATTTAATTTTTAAAAAATATCTTTTTTCTTTTTTTGTAAACGGAGAAGTATGTTTTTCCATCTTTTTTAACGAACATAAAATTGAGAATTAACTGACCAAAATAAGTCCGCCAATAGAAGGCTGAAGGCCCTCAACGATTCGACACTGGAATCCACAAGACACCGAACTCATTCGAAAGCGAGGGATGGTAACGAAGGCGCTCCCGCGCTGTCCAAAATCCGAGATTTGAATTTTCTCTCTCTCATTCTGTTCCTCTGCCGCCAAACTTTTTGGGTTTTGAATCCCATTACTTAATTAATTCTCCGCCGACCGCCATCATGGATTCGGCAACACCGTCTGGGGAAGACGACGACTGGGAGCTCTGCAACGACGATGGCTTCGTCTACAAGCGCAAGAAGCGCCGTCTAGACCCTGATGCCGCGGCAGTGGCTCATGTCTCATCTGCTACGGATGTGGATCACTTGGCAGCGTTGCAGCAACGGAGAGAGCGCAAGAAGCGGACCTTGTTAAAGCTTAAAGATCAGTACCAGAGAGAGCTCGAACAGTGGGATCTTTTGTCGAGCACCTTGCATGCAATGGAGGAGCGAACCAGTCGGTTTCGGCAAGAACACGAACGGGTGCCGGAGCAAACGGCGCCTCTTGTTTCCCATTCTCCAACGACGAAGGGGAAGGCTTCTGTCGGTGGGTCGCTGGTTGACGAGCTGCTTTTGCAGGTAATTGGACTCTCTCTTACCGCTTGTGTACAGTCTTGTTGGGTTATTGAAAATTGCCCGAAAGAATGTAAATTGAAAATTAGGGTATGAGGAGACATAGAAGATAAAATAAATCGATCAGCGGCGCCTGAATGGAGTGCTGATGTTTTCTTCTTTTTCTTTTTTTCTTTTTGAAAACCTCAATGCCAAAAACAAAACTCATGTTGCTGTTCATTTTGTTTCTCGCGAACCGAAGCCTATATTCAGGCTCCAAAAAAAAAAAATCAAAAACTCAATCCTTTTCCTCAGGAGAATATCTCGAATACATTCAAAATCGGAACCCATCTCCATCTCTTTGTATCCTTGCAAAACCGTTCTTATTTAGGCAACTATTGACAAGTTTCCATGACGGATCCTTTGGGAAACCCTAATGTTATACATGTCATTATTCCCTCTCTCTGTCGAACCCTCTGGTTGAATAACTTATTTTAGCTGCTCCAGTAGCTTATGAAGTTTCTGAGTTATGTGGCCTTGAACTCGAAATGCTAATTAATCAATTCTTTTATGGGAGACAAGGCTTCTTTACATATTCCCCTAGAGAATAAGCGTCTCTAGCTGATGAAATTTTCTTAATTCTTTGAAGTATGCTGGGACTGAAGGTCCAATTGTTCTAAAGATCTGTTGCCTCAGCGCTGAAGCTTTTACTAGGTCAATTTTCTTTGCCCCCGGTTGATCTACTGTTAAATTCCAAGAATAAGGATCAAGCATTTTCATGGTTTTGAATATGCAGTAGAAATCCACTACTCAAGATAGTTGCATAACTTCGGCTTCTGAATCTAGGAAACTGAGAACTGAAATAGTTCTGTATTCTTCCCATTTAACGTGCTAGAATATTAGACACCGCAGAGTCTAACTCTAACCCATATTTGATTGGCCTTTTTAGCCGTACAACCTGGAAATAAGTAATAACATCAAACATTAACCTCTGCATACTGATGGCCTTCTTAATTGCATAAAACTTGTAGGAACCTCGTTCCTTAATTCTTAACTTTGGAGCTTGCAGGTGGAAGCCCAAGAAGCAATTATTCATGATATATCAAATCTATGTGACATTGCAGAAGCAATGTGCCATAAACAAGAGCAGCAGGTCAATCAGTCGTTGTTTGATCTTCCGATCTGGGCCTCACCGAATGAGCTCATGCAATTTCTATGTGATGATTAGATGAGTTTCGTCTGTGCATTATTCTCTTGTGGTAGTGAATGGTAAGTTGAGAGGATGGTCTTCCACTGTTCAAGGATTGCACTTGGTTTCGTTGCTCCAAGATTTTGTGAGCTCGCCTTTATGGCAAATTGGTAAATATTGTAATGAATTTATTTAAGGACACGTATGGCTGGAGTAATCCCATTCGACTGACTATCTGATGAACTGAAATGGGAGGACAGTCAATTTCTAGAAAGAGCGGGAAGACAGCCTCTCCAACGTCTTCATTGAAGCATGAGTGTCGATTCTGTAGTATTGTGATTGTATATTTTAGCATGTAGTTTATTAATTTTTTGAATCTATAATCATCTTTTTTAGGCCCAACGGAATCTATAACTATCTTGATTACAACAAAGGTTTTGTATTTTGCTCTCTTGATTCGAGGTCCTGTATGAGTATGCAATTTGGCTCAATGTCGTGGGAGATTTTGGTACTATTTTTAGAAATAAGTTCTTCTAGCAACAGGGAATATTTTCCTCGAAATATTAACAGGAAAATTTCTAATTTAGAAGGGTAAATACGAAGAGCTTGATATTCCAAGTAAAAGGATATGCTCTCTCTTGTTTACAAAGGGGATCTTATGTTATTGGTCCCAGGGTTGCTGGGGAAAAAAAAGAAAAAAGAGGACATCTTTCGGAATTGAGAAACTCAGACATTTACGGTCTCATTTTAAGTATCGTATGACTCGTTGGTGGGGAAAAGGATAGACCATGAAATGCTTCAGCATTTGCAAAGCAAAATACCCGTTTTCGTGCACCTTCACGAAATCAATAAAGCAACTGAGATTCGATCGCCTTTTTCATTTTCATCCAAATCCTGATAAATGCCACATAACTGACAATTGGTTTTGATCAATTGTTGTTGTGAGCTGCATAACCTTCAAGTTCATTAAGACGAGAGGGGACAAGCTGTACAGGTTGTAATACGAATCCAGCCTTTCGACATTCTTCCTCAAGAAGCTGTGCTTGAGAAACACCATCAGGACAAAATGCAACCACGGCTCCCCCGCTACCCGTAAATTTAGAAGCAGCTCCAACCTTTCTTGCAACCTCCACCATTTTTATATTCAAAGCACCAAGGGCATCATCTCCAAACATTGATCTGTGCAATATCCAGCAACACAGTTCAATACTATGCCTTTCATTTGTTAGTGCATACACAATTCATATTTTGAAGTGTTCTGATACAAGATTCACGCTGTTTCTAATATATTTTTCGCCAATTCAATATTCCAGCGTAGATGTCATTGATTATTGAGAAGCGACGTCGGTTAGACATACCAAATGCATATGATGAAGAGACAGAAAACCATAGCAACAACATTAATGTTTAATTGGTTGAGCGCCAAAATAAGCATTACCTTCGAATGTCAAAATTTCGATTCATGAGGGCTGCAAGTTTAGAATAGTCTTTATTTTCTAATGCTGTTTTTCCTTCTTTTGCTATATTTGCAACTTCCAGCATTGAAGATATGATGAACTCATCACCTTCAAGCCATCTCTGCCGTACTTTACTGTGAACCTACAGTTTATAGTAGGCTAAAACTTTGAATAAATATGGAAGATCACTTCTAATGAGTCACATAATCGGATAAGACGAAACAACGTTGCTCTACAACCATGGGCAGAGGGCATATAAAAATAACAAAGATAAAACAATTCTGAGCTGCTAACCTTCCCTGAATCACTAGGGTTCTCAGCATGGATGAGATACAAAGGTGGGAGAAGACTTGTATCCATGGGTGTGTAAATTCCATGCCCCAGATTATTCATGTTTTCCTTACTAAAGTCCTACAAAAGCAGACAAAGTCACACAATTTATTGGCATCTAACATTCACGTGAAATGAATGATTTGTCTCAAAATTGAACAACGCACCATGTAAACTAGGCCCTCATAAACTTGAGCAACCCGATCCTGGAGACCAGCAATTATTCCAAGCTCATTCTCTGCAGTGAGGATAAGGCTAGGCCTCACCTCCACCTTAATTAGATGCCTGACTTTGTAGAAATCAAGTAAGCAATTTAAAGTAGCACATACAATTGCACTAGAGCCTGAAAGTCCTGCCTGAAATGTCAACTTTAGTGCTTAAGATGTACTCATCAACAAGAAAATAACAAGGCAATAAAAGGACTTCTGTAATAACAAGAGTAACAGAACAAAACCTTGAAAGGATGGCCTCATTGGCCATTTAGCAAAGGAAACTTGCAGCAACCATGAAATCAGAATAATAAACAATTTCAATTTTATCTCCCCTCAAGTATCAGGCATCAAATGGACTAGGCATCTCATGTTGTAAATGAAACTTGTATAAACATGATAATTACAAGTTTGGAAAAAGCTCGCTTTTTATCCCTGAAGCTTCACTCAAGTTTCAATGTAGTCCCAAAATTTTATTTCGATTCAATATTCTCCTCAAAATTTCAAAGTAGGTTCACATCACCCTTTTCCTTTGGCTATAAATTCCACCAGTGCGTGTTTGATGTGGTTCACGTGATCCATATAATATTTTAATACGTACTATACAAGTCAAATTAGCTACATTGTAATCCCTGTAGTGGTTTGGAGCTTTCAGTTTAGTCCCTATGGTCATTGCACTTGTTTTGGCCACTATAGCTGTTTCAGCTTTTCCAATGTATTCAAAATTGTGTTTTTTCTGACATTTTATTGCATCAAAATACAAGTGTACGTTCAGCATTCTATATTTTGTACTTCATTTTACCATTTAGGATATGCATTAACACACTGTGCTTCTTTTCTAGGATGGCATGTGATATGTCAACTCACTAAGCATTAGTACATAAAAAATGTTGAGAATAGACAAACCATCTAAATGAAACACAGTGAGTTGACATACCATCTAGATAAAACACAAAACATAACTTACACTTGATTGTTTTATGTCAATACCATGGTTATGTATATAGAAAGAGCAGTCTCATTGAGACAACTGAAATAACAATAGCGACTACAATAAAACCAAATCTACTTGTATAGTACACACAAAAAAAGCATAGACCGCAGCAAGCCACATCGGACACCTTCAAATATGTAGCATTTTGTGAAACTTATAAGACCATATCAAACCAAAATAGACTTCTGGCCCTCTGGGGCTAAAGCAAAACTAGATGAAACTTCAAGGACAAAAAATGGACTTTTCCTGAAAGTTTTTATATTAATTTATTTCAGGGACAAACAGTGGACTTTTTCTGAAAGTCTAAGTTTATATCATTCAAATGATGATTTAGGGATGACAGATAAAAATAAGCAACCATAAAATAGGAGAGAACGTTGTGAAGACTTAGGGATGATAGATATACATAAGCAACCATAAAATAACTAAGGAGAGAACGTTGTCAAAATAAAGAAAGTACTTAATTATGCAGTAAGTTTGAAGTTTTACCTGGCGAGGGATATTAGTGTCATATGACAAAGTAAAATTTCCTCCATTGAGATCTATGTTGTTGTCTTTACAATAGTTATAGAACACTTTACAAATTGCCATAAGCAATCGTACACCTCCATAAAAGCCCTCGCTGTTTAATCTGTTCACCTGAATATAAAGAAGGAAGCACAGCGTATTGGAAAGCCCTTCAAGTCATGATAGTTTGCATAAGACACAAAGCATTTCTGCTTGTCTCAAAAGGCAGAAACGGTAACTACTGATCAGACCATAAACTTGCATGGTCTTCTTGATCGTGAGAAGAGCTGATCAATGCATTTGAATATATAAATGATGACCCTTATAAAGACTAAAAACACTAAAACTTGCATGGTCTTCTTGATCGTGAGAAGAGCTGATCAAGCATAATTTTTTGTCTCTATAATTTTATCAGGTTTTCCAATATTTTCAACCCTTATAGAGACTAAAAACACTAAAATTATAGGGACCTCAAAAAACAAATGTCATCCAATATTTCTGAAACTATAGGGATTGAAAAAACTAGAAAAAAACTACATGGATTAAAAACAAAACCTGATGAAACTATAGACACTGATGACAATGTTGCCCCAAATAAAATTTTAGATTCTACCTTAGATTCTTTATTTCCGTCCGATGATGAAGTATCTTGATGATTGATCAGCGTAACAAAAGAAATAATTTATCAATAACTGTAGTATTAAATTCATAAATGAGATCTCAATTATCAAAACTGCGCCTTCTGTTATAAAAAGAAGCATTCAAAGCAAAATGCCAAGAGTTGACTCCCCAGTGAATTTGTTATGCTTTTTGTGCCAATTAGAATACGTTCAGGCAGAAATCAAGAAAGAGATCAACAGTAACGTCGTTAATTGAATGACAATAAATTGCAGGGCGGAAAAAACGGCGGCAGAACATGAAAATACCAAGTGATCGATAGATCTGAAGTGGACGAGATCATGAGTTGGATGAGGAATGATGACGAGATCATCGGAAGGCAGCAACTTGGCGGAGGCCCAGAAGTTGGCGAGGCTGAAAGAGATGGTGTTGCCGAAGTAAACATCACTAGGGTTTCCCAGCAGACCCACCCTCGCATACGCCTTGTGCTCGATCGCATTGCTACAGCAAGCAGCATGTCCACCTTCTCGCTCCATTCTCGCAGACTATTCAACGTGGCGATCGTATCCATCAAATCCAAAAGCTTTATATTATACTCAGGCGATCTAGTCCAATTTAATTTATGAAAAATTAAAAAAATACTTTAAATTAGGATAGCGCCGATAAATTTGATGTCTGGAAGGATGTCCCGTCTCTGTTTAAAACATCTGTGTTATTTGGCCACCCGTCGTTCGGACTTCCAACGGTACAAGTCAACTTCACAGATTAAAAAGGAAACAGAGAACGACGCCGTTGCCGGGGATCGAACCCGGGTCGCCCGCGTGACAGGCGGGAATACTCACCACTATACTACAACGACTTGTTGATATGATTTTAAAATTAATATATTTAACATAAAAATTTAAGGGAACACGGCTTCATCGAAACGCAGGAATTCAAACCTCAGCTTCAGAGAACGAGCCTCTGAGTGCAATGACTTCCCACCACTGTTTTAAAAATCGAATCACACCGGTCGATCAGACCATCAATTGATCTGATTTTCGGTCTGATTCAAAGAAAAAAATTATTTTAAAAGTTGAGCCGGTTTGAGCCGTTTCGAATCAGATTCGGTTTTCAAAAATCGACTGTTCAAAAAAAAATTTATTTTTTATCAAATTTTTTAAAAAAATGACTAATTTTTTTAATCATTTAATATTATATTGTATCATATGATTTGTTAAGTCGTAATAAACTTAAAATATTTAATTTTTTCAAGTTAAATAGCAATTTTATATGTATTTCTTATATTTAAATTATTATACACATATATAATTTTTTTAATTTAATTATTATGTCATCGGTTGGATTATTGGTTCAACTAATTAAATCATATGAACCGTAAGCTGTTGATTTTTTTTATTTAATATTCGATCCGATTTTAAAAACATTGCTTCCCACTCCATCCGCCGAGCCTCGGTCTCTGATTTGATTTGACTATCTTCCTCCCGCGCTGTCGCTGTCCCTCACATCACAGCTGTCGGCTGCGATGATGAGTGATAAACTGATGAGGATTCATGATTTAAAAAAAAAAAAAAGTGATGCGTTTTTTCGTTAATGACTAGGTTTGATTTTAATTGAAAAAATAATAAAATTCCTTAATTATATAAATAATAATATGATATTTAAAATATTACAATTTTATTAACATTTTAAAAACTTTATGCTATTAAATTTAAAATTTAAAAAATTATTTTATTTTTATTAAAAATAATAAGTTTTAATAATAATTTTTGTCTAAAAAATAATTATTTTTATTTTATAAATCATAAAAGTTGAATAAAGAATTATAACTTATCAAGTATAATTTTTATTATTAAAAAATAAGTTTCGATCATAACTTTTATTTTAAAAATAATAATTTTTATTCAATAAATAGCAGGAATTGAAAAATAAATGACAAGTTGTCAAATGTAATTTTTATTATTAAAAAACAGTTTTTAAAATAACAAATCTCAATCATAATTTTTATTTAAGAAATGAAAACTTTTATTTAAATAATTACAAAACTTAAAAAATAAATCACAATTTATCAATAAAAATAAAATAATATTTTTAATTTAAAATTTACTAACACAAATCTTAAAAATTTCAACAGAATTGTAATATTTTAAAAAATTAAATTATTATTTATATAATTTAAAAAATTTTATTATCAATTTTCTTTTTAGGTATGTAGGCTTATGTGGTGGGTTTAAATTTATTCATTTAAAAAAAATGAGTATAATTCTGATAGTGGCTCATGTACTTTTTTTTTTTTTAATGATAGATGATGAAATGAATGATTGCTAGTTTTAGTTTTTGCCAATGATAGCTAGTTTATTAGAAAAATTATCATAAAAAAATTTACCATTAAATTAATTGCTCAAAAGGAGTTGAAAAATATTTAGAATTGAGGTTTTTCAATGATAATAATTGCTGAAGGCTAAATAACAAAAATACCCTTATTGATTAAAAAAAAGTAAAAGTTAAGGAAAATCTTTAACCCTATACGAGGTCATTCGTTATTAATAATTTCATGTCAACACTCAATACAAGATTCTTCAATATTAATGTGTCAATTTGGATTACTAGAAACAAAAGTCTTCAATTATATGCAATGATTTTTTCACTATACAAACCTGAATTTTAATCATGTGCAAAAAAATTCTCATTCATGCAAATAACATATTTTGGTAGTTTGAAAATTCATAACTTAAATAAATATCACGTGTTGTTATCTAAGTATTACAAATGCATGTTTTGTAATTTTTTTTATTTTTCATGAAAACATCAAAAGATATTTTAAAAGCTCAAATGATTATTTTGAAATGCAAATGGATATTTTGAACACTAAAAACAAAGGTCTTCAATCATATACAATGATTATTTCACTATATGCATTTATACTTTAATTATATAAAAAAAAACTTCAATCTGTTTAAATAACAATTTTTAATATTTTGAATATTTTTAATTTTGAAGCATTTTATAATAATAGGAACAGGTTTTCAATTACATATAAAAATTATTCTACTACATATACATTTAAACTTTAATTATATGCAATAAAACTTCAGTATGTTAAAATAACAAATTTTAACATTATGAGAATTCTTAACTTAGATGGATATCATTCAAATATCACAAATGCATATTTTAAAAATACAAATAGCTATTTTAAAAATTTATTTATTTTTTATGAATATACCAAAAGATATTCTAAAAATGCAAATAATTATTCTAAAAATACTAAAAGATATTGTTATATGTAAAACTTAATCACACCAACTTAAAGCATAAAAAATAACAATTGAACACGCAAAAATTGAATCTAACTTCATTTTATTAAAATATAAAATTACAAACAGTATCTCTTTTACAATTAAATAAGTCAATTAACATTCTAATTGACAAATAACACAACAAAAAACAATAATTCCTATCATCGTCATTATTAGTGCAAATATTATCACTCTCGTGCTCCTCTTCTCGTACAAGAAAGCCTCTTTTTATAGCTTCAACTGTGTTTTTAGCTTCATAGCTTCCAACTCCAACAATTCCCAATCATTCCTTGAAGATGGCTCTTAAAGCATGCTGCTTGAAGATCACAATCATCCCCAAGAACCACGTGGACATGGCTAGTAGATGTTCCAACGGATATGAAGATATTTGGAAGAAGCAGCCGACAATGAAACTACAAAGCAATCTTTCCTGGTCTGGTTGTTGAATCATTATTGCCGCTGTGGCAAGGCTGTAAAACCGTTTGGGCCTTTTCAGCTTTCCCTCCACAATTTCATTAATAGCGTGGACCATGGTTGGGAATGTGAACACCATCCCCAAGCATAATCCGACCTGACGTAATAGCAACCGTGAGATCTCACAATGAATAATAAAAAATAAACAGTGTTATGAAGATAAAATATCAAAGTTGGCGGCCAAAGAACAGTTAATTAGCTTCTTATAATGCTTAAAATTTGAAACATTTATCTGAAAAGTGGATTTTATAAGGCATGTATAAGCACAAATCGATCATGTGTATGAAGATAATGTGAACCACACAAACAACGCAGAGAGAAACACATGCCATCAGGGCAGCATAATGATGTCAATTCAGGGACCGCAAGGCAGCAAAGTGAAACTTTGAAAGCCACTCGAGCCATGAGGGAATGAATACCTATAATGAACTTAACATTTGAAAATAGAATTTGACACTTTTATGATCCCAACTTTCAATAACGCGCATAAATAAATCTCACAACTGACCTGCAAATCAACTATCAAATTTTTATAAGACATGCAGTTAACAACCACGTCCAGAAAGAACAAGGCGTATCCTCTGCTATGTGTGAATTTTAACAAGAATTCACGTGGGAAAGTACAAGGCATAACCTCTGCTGTCTGTGATTCCATGCATAAATGAAAGGTACTCAAGAAAATTAAATTGCAGTAAACTGTAGTTTTCTTGATTTGTCCTAACCTGTTGGGACTCGGGAGAATAAAACAAAACATGCAAGAAAAGAAGGCATGGCAAAAAGTAATGTGTAACGTTCAAGCTCTGGTGCATGAAAAAAGATCTTTAATACTAGAAAAAAAAGAGCGCTGCATCAAATGGAGAGAGAAAAAGGTCTTTCACAGGACCTAAACAACTACTGCATACTTGATGAAATTAAATTACTGCGTAATGTGAAAGAAACTGAAGGTTATCCGTAAATTATAGCAATGCGAGATGAAAGGATGAGATTAAGCCAAATGGGCATGTCACCACCTCAAGTCAAAAGGTATGCGAATAATTTCAGGAAATACTGCCATCAAATGAGTTTGTAACTTGGGGGAAGGGGAAGGAATTTCACATCCGAGACCATTTCTGAACAACATTAGAGATATGATGACCAACATTAGAATTTCACATCAGAGGAATCAGGGTTAGGGATCGGAGGAGAGAAACAGATCAAAGAACTAGAGAGGGATCGAGTAACCAAAACCTCACCTTACTCTCCATTGTTGCCCTTGCTGTCGAAATCACGACCACTTGCCACTGCCGTCACCATCGAGCTGCAGGCACAACTATGGTAGAAATGGAACGGGAGCAGGAGAAGGGAGAGGATTTGGTTAGGAATACGTTTGTCATTTAACTCCTGAGCTGATTGACAGCGTATACCCAAGTTCCTTTGAAATTTTCAAATCCTTCCCAGCAGTAAATATTGTGGTCTTTTTTTATATTTTTTCCTAGTTTATTTGATTTAAAAAAAAAAACAGTAAGTGAAAAGTGATATGTATGCTCATTAGCTAATTTTTTAATAAATGAGACAATCTTTGAATAACATGGTGTATCGAATGTACATAAAATTTCTCAGATCTTTTGCAATATTGAATGGGTAAATGTATTTCTTGGGGATTTATCTGGAAACTGTAAATGTATTATTAGGAAATTATTTGGAAATGTATTTTTTGAATTTTTTTCTGTTTTTTTTTTCCCTTTTCACTTGGCAGAACAAGTCAATTGGTGCGGTATGCGTGACAGCTGAGTTGTGCGAGCAAAATCTCTAGATTTCAAGCCCAGTCAAAATCCTATCTCATGTGATCAGATAGTGCCCGTTTGAATTTTAATTGCATATAATAAATTATAAAAATAATTAATTAAATAATAAATTTTAATTATAATTGATTAT